TTTCTTTCAGATCATACAATCTAGCCACATTCTTTTACAATGTTCAAATGTTTTTATACTTTTCAAATACCTCAGAATTAATAAAATTGAGTTAATATTTGATTCTGTCTCTCTTCAAATGGTTGAATTATCTTATTTAAGAATTCTTTTTTTTTTTTAGCCAGATATAAAATTTTAAATTTGAGGGAAAATAAGTCCTTTCTGAGTAATAAGATTTTACTTACTGAGTTTTCTGGTGTCTTTTAAAGTTCTGATCAGGTATTGAATTGAACCGTGGCACCTTGTATCTGTGGGAATGGTCTATGTCAAAAAGATTAGAAACACCAAGTATTGGTTAGGATGTGGAGTAAAAGAAACACTTGTATGGAGTTGGTGTCAATGTAGACTAGTTCAGCCCCCATGGAAAAGAGTATGGAGGTTTTTCACAATGTTAAAAATAGATCTACCATACCAGCCAGCAATTGTGCTCCTAAGTATCTACATGAATAATACAAATTTGAAGGAATCTGTGCAATCCTGTAATCATTCTGGCACTGTTTACAATCTAAATTATTGAAAAAGCCTGTGTGCCCAAGGACATGAGAGTGAGTTAAGGAGGTGTGTGTATGTGTGTATGTGTGTATGAGTAACACAATCAGACATTACTCAGATGTAAAAAGAAGAGGAACTCTTGCCATTTGCAACAACGTGGATGGAACTAGAGGGAACTAGCCTAAGCAAAATAAGTCAGAAGGACACAGACACGGAGGACAGAGAATTGGAGAATAGAGACATGGAGAATAGAAAAAAAAAAAAAAAAACAAAGGGCCAGATAAAGCCAAGCCAATAACAAATCCTAGAAATTGTACTGTATAAATGAGGCTACCAGAGGTGGAGGTGAAAGAACAAAGTGGAGAAGGGAGCACAGCTGTCTGTGGTGGAGGACTATGGCCATCATGGTTGTGGGTATGCTGGTATAACAAAACCTCAAGGGTATGATTCTGTACCTCTAAATTAAATATAGGGTTGTAAAGCAGTGTTGCTTCAATTAAAAAAGTGAACCTTGGCACTGTTCCAAAAATACTAGTTATTGTTAATGGAAAGTAAGAACCCTTATGTTTTTATTGCTTGTATTTTCTGTAGTGCTAGGAATATTATCAAATTGTGATGTTGAGAGCAGTAATACTTAATAGCTTATGGATATAGAACAAATTCACGGGATAATTTTTTCTTACATTACAGCCGTAATTAAGTATTTTGACTCATCCTGCAGATTGTCAGGCACTGGTTAATGCATCTTATTTACTTTCTAAGATTGTAATAGTCACTAATTGCATCAATTGCTGTGCTCATTTTCCAGTGTCATCATCATAGTCTGTAATAATAGAAGTTACCATATTCCTTGTTATCAGTAAAGTACAATTAATTATACTGTCATTTCTTAGCTTACTCTTTAGGCAAAAAGCTTCCACTGAAAACTCACTTAAGTTCCTTATGAAACACATTTTGGTTATTTGTTTTCAAAAGAGTAGTGTGAAAAAAGACTAAACAATTCTGTAGAAAATTGCAAATTGCATCTCCTATTACTTATTGCTCTTTATTTTTAATGTTGCTATGGCAGCGGTGCTACTGTTTATTTATACCACCAAGGGTGATCTCAGAAAACCTAGGTATGTGTGTTTTGAATTGCCTTTTGGCCAGTGGGAAGTTTCACAATATCCTGTTTTGAGAGCCCTGAAATAAAATAAAATGTGTGAAATAAAAGCACACATTTATGGGCAATTAATCTATGACAAAGAAGTGGACAAGGAAATGATCAAGGCAAACCTCTTCAATAAATGGTGCTGGGAAAACTGGACTGTCACATGCAAAAGGATGAAACTAAACCATTATCTCACATCCAACAAGAAAATCAACTCAAAACAGAAAAAAGACATGGATGTAAGTCCTGAAACCATAAAAATTCATGGAAGAAAACATAGGCAAAACACTCCATAAAATAAACTTTTAAGAAATATTTGTGGACTCAGGAGGCAAGGAAAACAAAGAATATAAACAACAAATTATATCAGAAAAGCTTCTGTAGAGTGAAAGATACAGTAACCAAAATGATGACATTCCCTACTGAATGGGAGAAAATATTTGCACAGCCTACGTCTGACAAGGAACTGTTATTGAAGTTCTACAAAGAGCTTATGCAACCAAATAAACAACCTAATCCAAAAATAGGCAGGGGCCTTCCTGGTGGCACAGGGGCTAAAGACAGGGCTATAAAGCCATCACTAGCCACTTGCAGCAAACCGACCCACCAAGGAGATAACCTACATGGCGCGGCAGACCTCTTCTGTCTCGCTCACTGCTCCCCTCAGCAGTGTATTTTAGTCCATCTGCCTGTTCTGATCCATATCTGTGGTGAATCCTCTCACTCCCCACACTTTTGGCTTGTATCTTGTATGCATAAATAGATAAATCTTGAAAATTAAAAAAAAAATTAGGCAGAAGAGCTACACAGTCAGTTCTCCAAAGAAGACATACAGATGGCCAACAAGAACATAAATCTCTTCATCACTTACCAGGTAAATGCAAGTCAAAACCACAATGAGATACCACCTCATACCTGTAAGAATGAGCCACTATCAAAAAACTCCGGAAATGCGCTCGCAAGGGAATAGAGGAAAAAGAAATGCTCTTATACTGCTAGTGGGATTGTAGACTAGTCCAGCCCCCATGGAAAGCATTGTTGAGGTTCCTCAGAAGACTAAAAATGGATCTGCCATATGATCCACCAATTTCACTTCCAGGTATCTATCCAGAGAACACAAAAACAGTAATTTGAAAGGAAACACATGCTCCCATGTTTGTATCAGCATTGTTTATAGTAGCCATAATGTGAAAAAGCCTACATGTCTCAACAGAGATGAATGAATCAAGAAGGTGTATATACACAATGGATTACTACTCAGCTATTTGTAGCAACATAGATGGACCTGGAAAGTATTGTCTTAAGTGAAACAAACCATAAAGAGAAAGATAAACACCAGATGATTTCTCTTAATATGTGAAATGTGTAGAAACTAAACAAATGGATAAGCAAGGCAAACTTTAAAACCTGTCCTTGAAAGCTGACCATAGGTCTGAAATATTTAAGAGGGCATAAGGGGAGGAACACAGAGTGGCAGGGGGAGGGTGGGGAAGTACCACACAATGGTGGAGGATTATGGGGGCTTTGGTGGTGGGAGAACTTGATGAACACAGCTGAGGAAAGAAATCCTATAGAGTAGGAAAAATAAAATGAACGAGCATGTAAAATGACATTTCAGTAAAAATATATATGACGTTTTATTTTTGGTTACTATATTTACTTTTTTAGAGCTATAAAGTACTTTTTACATCTAAGCTCACTTGTCTTACAAGAGCCTCAAAAGGCAGGCAGATGGAGTAATCTCCATTTTATAGATGGAAAATCTGAGAGATTAAGTGACTTGACTGATACTTAATAATCTATCCAGCACTAGAAGTTTGCCTCTTTATGTTCCTATAAAGCATTTTTGTATTATTAGCAATACCAATACTTTTTATTGTACTTTATTAAAATTACTAGATTATATTAATAAATATGAGGTCTTTTTTCTTGATACTTAAAATAAGTTATTCTTTCATTGTACCCTTTAAAATAATGTTTAGTTTGTTAATAAGGCACTTATTTTTAGGGCTCCCAGACTTCTGAATTTATAATTAGTTTTTAATGGCCTAATTTTTTATGTTTTATGTAATAAGTTTGTTTCACATTAAAAGATCCATGTCTTTCCATGTAACATTTGTCAAGCATTATCAGAAACCATTTCTACAGAGCATTGTATTAGGTGTTGTGAGCGGCATACAGATGAGATGTTAGGATCTTCCTTCAGGGGAATTAAAATTTATTCCCGACAATGTCATATGTATTGGGCAACCAAAGGAGTGTTGAAAAGGAATTAAAAAATAAATGCATAGTAAATTATGTGTGTGTTAATATTTGGAAGTAAGAGAGCTAAGTTCAGAAGATAATGAAGAGTTATCTCCCTGGTTTAGAGACAGGGAGATTTTATGAGGGAGGGTTTACATTTGATAATAAGGAAGACCTACTATTATTTCTTGAGCAATTAACTAGTAATTAAAAAGCAGTTGATTAGGAATAAGACCTATCATGTACAAGGCACTTTTTATTTATTATTGAACAGTATTGGTTAAGGGGACATCTCAATGAAAATTTAGGTTCTGGGAAAATGAAAACATCATGGAGAAAAACATGATGCAAGCAACCATTTTATTAATCAAGATTATGATGGATTGAGAACAGCAACTCTAGTAGAAACTTTGGAAGCTGGAAGTAAGATGTCCAGTAGACTCCAATACTAAGATAAAAATACAGCAGGAAAAACTGGAGAAAACAGCTGTTAGATACCAAGTTGTGATAAAGCAATTGACACTGTCATGGCAGCTTTTTTTCTAGCGACTATACCATTAATTAGCATTACTTTTAATAACAACCACTGTTTAGCATTTATCATGTGTCAGGCACTGTGCTGGGTTCTTTTCAGGTAATACCTCGTTTAATCTTCAAAACAACATTGTAAGTAGGCAATATTACACCTGTTTATTAATGTGTAATTTATGTCTCAGAGAGGGTAAATAACATCATCTAAGTTCATAGAGCTATCTTGTCTCACTCTGTTGAATTACTTGTAAAATGCAGTTCCACTGTCTGCCTTAAATTCTCAAAAATGTACATGTGGCATACCTGTTAACCCCTGAAGTCTTTCTGTGTGTTTTTCAATTCTAAATTATGTTTCATATTGTGTTGAAAGTATAACAGATGAATTTTTAATGTGTGAATCACACTAAGGCACAACATAGACTAAACTTGATAGAATAAAGGAGGTAAAAGAAGTAAAAATTGCCATGAAAAGTTAAACCTATATAAAAATGTAGTTGGGTACAATGATCAAGAGCATGTGTTATTTTTTTAAATTTCTCATTAGTCAGGATTTGCATGAAGATGTTGAAGAAGCTGGTGCACTGCAGAAAAATCATTCTTCTGTGACATCTGCAAACTCTTCAGAAGCTGCAGATTCTGCTTGCCTGCCTACAGAAGATGAGTCCATAAGCCCTACAAATTGTGAAAATCCCATAGAACAGACTCCAAGCAGTAATCCAGAGAGTGCCCTAGCGGTAAATGATGTTGAAATGACAAAGGAGAAAGAAAACCATTGTGATGACAAAACTTGTGTGCAGTCAACTTCAGAAGAGGAAGCAAGTGAAAATGTATCTACAGCAGAAGATACCACCAAACAACCAAAGAAAAATATTACTTACTCACAAATTATTAAGGAAGGCAGGAGATTTAATATCGATTTGGTATCAAAAGTAAGTACAATTTTAGCCATCTTAACATGCAACACCACGACTTTTTAATTGAAAATTGCATCTAGGCCCATAAACCCAGTTTTCATAATCTTACTTTCTGAAGTGTAGATCATTTGTTTTATAAGGAGATAGTAGTCATTACTTTATAATTTAGTTAAAATGTTCTTTAAATATAAGTTAAAAAACCATTGAAATGGGGTCCTCCTTGGTGGTGCATCAGGTTAAAGTACAACACTGTGAAGCTATCGCAGCCACTGCAGCCCCACTGGCAGACCAGGGGCTGGCCACACATGACTGGCAGACCTCTCTACTGACCCGCCCACTGCTCCCCTCAGCAGTATACTTCAGTCAGACTACCTGTTGCTCCTTACTCTGTCTCTGGTATATCCTCTCACATCCCACGCCTCTAACCCCCGCACTTCTGGTCTGCATCACAGTTCTGTATGTATAAAATAAATCTGTTTAAAAATCATTAAAATGGTCAGTACTATATTACAAGGGTAATTTTATACTGGAGCACATAGTCCACCCTAATTTTCTCCTTCTGTGTAGAAACAATGAATTTGAAAAAAAGTCTAACAAACCTGATTACACGTCCCTTTTATTTATAGTCTCTGTACCAAATGGATGTTTTTAAGACCTTCTTCTGTATGATGAACATTTTAAATAAACAAGTGCTTTTTTGAAAATTACCTTTTCTAGATTAAGGGCTTCAGAGGATAAATTAGTTGTGGATGACGGTGGAGAGGCCAGGAAGAATGTTGTTGTCTTTAATTATGTTTCCACTCTTAAACTCTAATTTTAGATCAATGTGATTTTGTAGAAAATCTCTGAGTCTTAGGGGTATATAATGTTGCACTAATTACAGGAAACAAGGTTAATTTAGTGCAAAAAGAAAACCAGTAAATAAAGGATAATGACCTTAAAAGGTTACAATATAGGACTAGGTGAAAGTAAAGAAAAAACAGACCAGACCAAGTTTCCTTAAATTGAGGGAAATGTATGGGAAACTGAAAAGAGGTAAAAGAGGATAGTGAATAGCACCGTCCTTTCCTCACATGTGTGCTTTACAATTTAATGTGCTTTCTTGAAATTCCAATGTGGACCAGAGTGCAGTAATGCACACTACTCACATTTTGCTGATACAGTCCCATATTTCACACTTCTCTCTTTGAACTCGATGTCTAAAATTAAGAACATCTTTTTAGTATTCATTGTTCCATTATTTCACATAGCTCTCTGTTCTGATATGTGTTGGGTTCGCTATTTCTACACAATCTTTTCTACCTTAGAGACCTACTTTGGTCTTGCTTGAAATCTAGCATTCATTCTTTGTTAATTAGGCTTTTGATTTCTGGATGGCAGTTTAATCATAGCCCACCAAATCTTCCTGTTTATCATGAAAAAAAAATTGAAACAATCAAGTAACAAACAAATTTCAGGATTTGTTCTGAAATTCCATTTCAAGTTATTTGGAATGCCTAATATAAGGGGATAATGGTCTAAAAGATGATCAAGTATCGAGGTTAGAACAAAGTCTGTAACACTGATGGTAACTGAAATATAGTATAAATCTTATAAAAGAAAATGGTAGAAGATGCTGATGTTTCAGTTGGAATTCGTGTAGGAAACTAGTCACTGTAAGAAAATAAACATTGCAGCTGGCATGGATACATTTTAGTTAGATGTTGAGACATTTGAAGAGACTGAAGGAGATTTTTGGGCATTTTCATGAGTTTAAATAGTAATAATTATTTTTTTCCACATAAGTTGGAAACAAAAGAGTCTAGAGGAGTCAAAGTTATACCTTGCCCTGCATAATTTTCATATGTTCATACATTTGAGAAATAAATTGCTACCTAATGTGGGCTCCTTGCCAGATTGCTCAGAGTCCAATAATCGTGCCACCAGCTTTTGAGAAAAGATATAGTTTAATGCAAGGTCATTGGACAGGCGACTATAGACCAGACTCTCAAATCAATCTCCCTAATGTTGATACTTTGGGCTGTATTTGAGGAACAAAGAAAATACTTTAAAAATGCAAATTGGTAGAGTCAGACTGATTGTTTTCTGCTGAATGGTGCTGTAAATCGTATTTGGGTCTAGAACTGCAACAGAAACGAGCACCTTTCACTTCTGAATCTTGTTCATTTAACCATGAGGTGCCATCTTACTTCATTTTTTCTGTGGCATTTTGCATTTTGAGGGTTCAGCTTGAGTGCAGTGAATGCTTTTGCACTTACTGCACTCTCAAACACAACTGGTTAACTTATGTAATAATGTCTTTCCCTCATTTGAAGTGGATATGGATGTATTTGTCCCATTGTTTCACTCTCACAAGACCTCTACTGTTCTTGCGAAATTGGCAGAAGTAGGAAAGGACACCACCATGATTTCAGTAGTAACTCACTAAACTTTCCTTACAAAAACATGACTAGTTAACATAACTATAGCCTGCGATGGGCTGATCATTTTTAAATCTTAATCATTTAATGAACATTTTCATAATTCTTACTCTATGAAAAACATTGTGTATTTCATATTATTAGATCAATCAGTCACTGCTTGGACATATCATATGCTAATTATATATAGTTGTTGCCTCTATAAGTTTAAAATGATTAATAAATGTTTATCTCAAGCCTTTTTAATTTTATTTATTTTTATATAGAAGAACTGGGACATGGCTAGAGGTACAGGGGTTGATAGGATTCACCAGTGACAGAGTGGGGAGCAGAATAGATGGATTTACTGAAATACATTGCTGAGGGGTTCCATGGGCAAGACAATGAAATTCTGCTGTTCTGTATGTGGGTCAGCTCCCTGGCCGGGGATTGAATTCAGGTTGTACTGGTAATAGGCTGAGACTTAACCCCTAGGCCACCAACGAGGCCCAAAGCCCTCTTTTTTAATGCCATGATAAATTAACTGTAGAGAGAAGAAAAATTTCTTACTCAAACTATAGCTATCTAACTATAGATATCTGTACACATTTCCAACAATCAGTACATGTGAACCGTACAGATTTATACCCGTTCATGATTTACCAAATAAAGATGACCAACAAAGTAGATAAAATAGATTGTGGTTTGTAGAAAAGACTTTTACCCAATAAATTATATTTACAACCTGACTCCACTTTATAAAAACAAGTTTACTTAGTCTTAGAAAACTATAAGCTAGCAATGTACAGAGAGTTGATTAGTGCTGACACCATGGTTGTCATCTTTTAATGTTGCGGTTTAAATCCTGTTGCCATGACAGATTCTGGTCACTTGCTACTTTCAAGGCCAAAACCATATGGAAGGTCTCGTCATTTCCCCTGGTCATGCTTACTGTATTTAAGTGCTAGGTAAAAGTCTTGTTGTATTTTCCAGTACTACCATGTTTACAATGTTTTTTTTTCCTTTTTTTAAAGATTTATTTATTTGTGCATACAGAACTGGGGTACAGGCCAGAGGTGCAGGGGTGGAGAGAGGATTCACCAGAGACAGAGTGGAGAGCAGAACAGTCAGATCATCGATGCATACTGCTGAGGGGAGCAGTGGGCGTGTCAGGAGAGGTCTGCTGTGCCATGTGGTTCATCTCTGGGGCAGGCGAGGAT